TACGATTTTGTAACCATGGTAGTTGAAAATGGTTAAAACATTCTATATTTTTGCATTCATGGTTTTATAGCCATACTAGTTGTAAACGTTTTCAAAACCATATAGGTAAAAATGCTCTGCCATTTATTTTACCGTAATTTTCGAACGTAATTTTAGAATTCTAACAGAGTAAAATTAAATTCTTCAAAAGAAGAACTAAATGAATATTGTGAAAGATTTTTTGATTGATGAGTATTATGGCACTGAAATAGATGTGCTACACTTTACACTTTCTTTACCTTTCTTAAAGCTGCTGAACTTCAATGTAAAATGCAAATATTTATTATTGAAAAATAAAAGAAGTGTTAAAAAATATATAAAGTAGCTAAAATTTAAAACTTTAATTTAAAAGCTTGTGAAAAATCTTTGAAAAAATTAACGAAACTTTAAATGAAATTATTAATAATTTACAGTTGAAATAAATCTCGCCTGAAGTTGTTGGTAAATTTCAACATGTTTTGTAATTCAATTTATAATTAAGAGTTAACACAACATATTTAATGTAATTAAAAATAAATAAGGTATTATAATACTAATAGTAAAATTAATAAATTATGTTCATGCAGAATAAAAAATGGGTCTGACCTAGCATAGAAGACTCTTATATAAATAAATTTTAAATATAAAAATAAATAAACTATTTAATACTAATAATTTTAATTTTAAAAAATCTCGTTGAAAGCATGATGTCATTAAAAAAGATAGAAATAATTAACATTTGAAACGTTATTTTAAATTTATCAAGTATTTGAAAATATAATGTTTTGTTCAATTAGAATAATTATTTCTATACATAGATTGTTAATATAAACTATTTACCATTAAGCAATTTAATTTCTGATCAATTCTTTTTAAAACGATATTAAATTCATATTTTAATATTTTTCATATCATTAAATATAGTTAACGTTTTTTTTTTTTCATAACATTATTAAACCGAGTTGCAGTTTGGTAACTAGAATTCATTCTAATTTTAATAGTTTTAGCATATTAAACATTGAGATAAAAATAAATTTATTTAAATAGATAAAGAAATATTACTTTTCTTCAAATATGTAATATTAATAAGCTAATACAGCATAAAATAAAATGTTTTGAATGATATATATTCAAATATAAATAGTTTTAAAAAAACACGATATTAATAAAAAGTTCATTTCGATTTTATTAAATATTCGTTGAAAAAGAACAATTCAGTGAAAATTTTGTTAAATATTCAGTGAAAAAGAACGATTTCTTTTTCACTGAGTATTATTAAAGCATATACAGAAGAATCGATTTTAATTTAAAAGACAAAAAATATTTTCTCTATTTTAAGCATTTAAAAAACCAGTGCTTCACGTTAAATTAGAATAATTATTCAAATATATAATACAAATGTGATTGTTAATGTGAAACTTTTTACCATTAAACAATTATATTCATTTCTTTTAAAAATTTAGCAAATTCTTATTTTAATATTTTTTGTTTGGTCTGCTTAAACATAGCATGATTAAACCTGTATAGAAGCGTTTATTTTAAACGTAACTTTTATATTTATTCCAGAACCCTTTTATATTTGATGTATTCTTTTCCAAATTAAAAATTACATTCTTTGAGTTCAAAAAAGAAACATATTAAATTAATCTAATACCTTTTTCATCATAAACTGTAGTATTAATTTATTTTTAAAATTATTTAAAGTCATTTTTTTAAAATCATTTTTTATATAATTTATAAAATGAGTTTTATATTATATAAATATTTAGACGCTTTTTTATCACGGTTCTGAAAAAAGAGGTCTTCTGTTTGTTAAAACTCTTTTGAAATGAATTTAGATTAAATGTATTTTTAATTAGAATTCGATTAATTGAAGAATTCGCTCACAGAGTGATGGGAAAAATATTTGTAAATGTTCAAAATAAATAAAAGAATAAACACTTTGATCACTAAAGGATAATGACATAATACTTTCTGAATGATAAAGGTCCAACTTTGATGAATTAAAATAGCTTTGATTCAACTTAACTATATCTGCAAAGCATTCTAAACTTCAGAAAAGAAAGAAATGAATAAATAATATTGTAAAAGAATCTAAGATGAGTATTAAAACATAGATGAATTACACTTTGTGCGTTGTTTGAATTTCTTAAAACTGCTAAATTGTAATGTATAAAAAATTTATATATGTCAGATATACCCTTAGCGTCAAATATTACAAAACAGCTTTCTTTACATCAGAAATTTCTTTACATCATACATTACAATTATTGAACAGATGCGTAACAAAAGATATTTTTAATTCCACTTTAATATTTGCGAAATATTTTCATTCCAACTTAACTATTTCTGTAAACTATTCTAAAAAATCTTAAAATTCGTTTTTACAGACATAGAGACAGAATCTTTTACAGGCATAAGATTTTAAGAGTGGAGTGTGTATGTTTCTAATACCTAAACTAAACCCTTTTCTAACAGCAATCCAGCAAGGTAATCCAGTAACTTGTTATACCAGCCATAAACAATAAGTTAATGTTCTATTATGAATTAAAATTAAATGATGCAATGCCAATGGTAATAAAGATACGTTTTATATCCAAAAAATATTGATGAATAATAGCGCAAAGATAATTCTAATTTTTTAGAACCTCATTCAATAAATATTAGGCTTTTTATTGCTCAGCTATTGCTTGATATGTCTTTTGATTAGTTTAATTTGCTATAAATTATTTTAAACTATTATCTCATGTTTCATAATGAAAAACCACTTAGGCTTACTGCCAAAAATTTATTTTTAATAAAATTCAATAAAAAGTTGTGCGCAATAAGAATTATCATTAATTTATTTTCTTTTTCTTACAAATGTTATTAATTTATTAATCTTTAAAAATGCAATTTTCATTTTAAATGTGAAACAAAAAACTTTAATTATTATACTGGATAACATTTATCTTCCAATTTTTTTTTTCAGAATATATTATTTATCTTATTACATGTTCCTATGATGTAGACCAAAGGTGCATTGATCCCAGGGTTAAAGAAAAGAGAAGGGCTGGTTCATTCCTCTCTTAAGGCTGAAGTTACAGTTTTTCTCTTCGTGACGTCACGCTGAAAACAGATCTCGGAGATCGCAAGAAAAGATATTATGACAACTTTGCATCATTCTCTCTGTAAAAATAAGTTCCACTTTTTCTTGAAATTAGCTTTCAAACTTTACACAATTAATGTATTATTTCCGTTCAAAAACATTTTCGTGGCCATAATATTAAAAAAAATACCATTGCAAACTAAAAAAAATATTTCACTAGTTGTCATAAATGACACTATAAATACTTTATTTTAAAATTTTCAGTTTCTACTTTTATTATTTAAAAAAAATTAAAGCATATATAGACACTTTTTTAGCTAAATATTATTAGATAACAATAATTAGTAAAGTTGGGTTAAGTTAAGAATCCTGATTTTAAAATATGCTGCAAATAGCAATTTGTTTATACTTAATCATTAGGAAACAAAAACCTTAAACGTTAATTATTGAAACAAAATAATAATTTAGGTTCAGAAAAATATTGGAAATTTTACAATTGTTTATAGATATTTAAATTTAGGAGAATATAATTTTAAAAAAATCATAAATATTTAGAATAACTACATTAAAAAATATGCTATGAAATTAGGAGAATTTTAACTATTAATTATTTATACCTTTTATTTAATTTTTTTTTTTTTTTTTTACTTTATCCATTTTTTTAAATTTTTTCAACTTTTTGAAGTAGCGGGACAGTTTCTATTTAGATGGCAAATTACATATTGTTACAATTACACATTGGCGACAAAATAAACAGATTGTTGTTTTATTGAATGTGGGAGAGCATCCCTCTAATTCATTTATAAGTTCTTTGATAACACTTTTTGATTTTCTGTTAGATGCCATGCACACTTTGCAAAATGGTCTCAAATTACTGTCACATTTCCAACCATGCTGCTGACGAAACAATTAATCCTCCCGTAGATAAGAGATTTATCTATTTCGTATCGCTCCTGTGTTGTTGGATGTACTGAGAAGATCGTATTCCTAATTTTGAACTAATATTTTAAAGCGAAATGCTACATCACCAGCAATATAATTTAGTCCTTTTTCTTGTGAATTGATCATTTTGTCTTCCAAATTAAGGTCAATATCCCAAGACGTAGCAATGGAGTTATTTAAGTCATGCATTATATCTCCAGTGTTGTCTAGAATATCATTATTTTCAGAAAGTATATTTTTTCTGTCCTTTTTAAACGCTTTTCCTAACAATTCCACAGTTAAATAACAACCTATTTCTGAATGTTTTATTTCTGTGCATAATTTTGACGAAAGATTATTTGCAATTAACAAGTTTTTAAATTAAGTTGTTAAAGATAATAATTGCTTTTTGAAATGGAAGTAGACATTTTTTAACACACACTCATTTTGCTTACAACTTCATTTACTTTAGAAAGTAAATAAAAGTAAAGTAATTCATTGAAAGTAAAGTATGAAAATAAAGTAATTCATTCATTTACAACTTCATCTACTTTACACAAGGAAAATTATATTTTTTTCTTTTGCGTTTCTGTCAGAATTTTTGCAAGTTGCAATTGTGCAACCTGGCATTTTGTTAATAATTTTGTTATAATTCACTTCAAAAAAATGAGGAAAATCATTATAGAAAACAACGAATGTCTTGGAATACGTCACAAAAAAGAATGCTCCAGTATTAATTAGAGCTAGTTAAACCGAATGCTTCGTTCTTGAAGTAAAAGTTCAAACTTTGCCATGATGTCAGAGACGGAAATCTGAGGTTTGGCGAGGCGAGTTTCTTCAAAGGAGAATTTCTTTTTTATTTTTTGGACATACAATAAAGCAATTTATGCATCTTTATAGAACATAGAACCAATTTTTCTCACCTTAGAATTATATAAGAAAATTTAAAACTAACTCAAATAAATATAAAAACTAGAAATAACTAAATGTTTTTAATAACACAAATAACTAATGATCACATGAATATATTATCTAGGTATAAAACCATGGCTAAGATAAAAAGTGTCAGATTGAAATATTATAAATGATAATGGACTGACACTTTTCAAAACATTAAATGTTTAATAACTACATTTACTATAAATAAATTTTAAAAAAAAGAGTCCATGCAAAAAAAAAAGGAGGGCAATAAGTTTTATTATGCTATGAATAAGATATAAAATCACATGAACATTAAGGAATTTAAGTTTAAAATCTCTGGGAAAGAAAAAATATTTTTAACCATTACTGTTTCAAAACTGAAAGAATAAAATGACACTTTAAAAATAAAATCATTACTATTCTAAATTAGAAGTATATAGAATATGAAAAACGAAGGCAATTAAGTGAAATATATATGTATATATAATAGTGAATATATAAATAAAAGTAATGCAGCTTTAAAATTCCATGAAAAATATAAAATATATTTTTCAATCATTCTTTCAAAATCAAAAGAAAAAACTGAAATGGCTTTAATGGAATGCAAATGATGACTTTATGATGATATGAATCAACCAGAGTTGGCAAGTTTTTGACACATGACAGTTTTTACCGTCATGTCAAAAAACCCTGTGTCAAAAAGGTCAATACCCATAGTTTTGGTAAAACTGTATTTTTATTTGAGTTTAACTGCTTATAATTTAAAATTAATTCATTTTTGGGCAATAAAATTAGAAAAAAAAAGTTCTTAAAAGATATATAAGAACAGATTCTTGCATTTTCCCAACATGATTATATCAAAACATACTATTTGAAGTAAAATATTTGGATACTAAACAAAATTTTCAACATTTCCAAGCATCATTTTGTTTGGCATAAACATTACTGAAGAATGTCAAGATTGATTACTTTAATTCATAAAATCTTGCTTTCAGAAACACATGTACACATAAAAAGATAGCCTCATAAAGTAAACTTTTCTTATCAATTTTGCTTTCAATATTTTACACAGAAATGAGACATGAAAAAGCCTGGGAAATCCTGTATAAATGTATATCCTTCTATAAGAATACATATATATAATTTCAAAATCAATAGCAATCATTTACAACATTCATTTATAAAGGCAATTATGTAAAAATAATATATCGTCCACTATGTGCCATAAATTAAAGAAGAAAACAGTAGGTTTTTGACCGTTTTTACAGGTAAAAACACGGTTTTTACCACTGTCACATTAAAAACCACTTTTTGACGGCAAAAACCCAACCCTGGAACCAACTATATACAAAACAACAACTTATTTTCCAAAAACATTGATGAATGAGAGTTTAGAATTCCAAATTAATTAAATTTGAAAAAGAAACTGCAAAGGCATATGTAAATAAAATTCAATTGATAACATCTATGAGCATGTGGAAAAAATCCTTAAAATGATTTTCAAAAAATACTGATGAATGATAATTTAAAATTCCGTACATAATAACTCTCCAAAAAAATGGCTGCTTTTCAATAAACAAATGAAAACAATCAAAAAGATTATGATAAAACATTAGATTTTAGTTAGTTTCATAATATTTTCTTTAGCATCTGCAAGTCTAGCTTTAAGTTCAGCAATTTCTTGTTTCACTTTTTTCTTGACTGTTAACACTTTTTGCAAATCTCGAACTTTTTTTCCTTCATAATCAGTATTATGCCGTTGTTCTGGAGTACTCAATTTAGGATGACTTAGCAGTCGGTGCATTTTGACAGTGGGGTCAGAAAACACAAGTTCATCATAAAATTCTGAATTTACGGGCACCGTTGTCATTTTGACATTGCCATCCTTTTCTCTGTCAAAAAGCTTCAGGAAGTGATAAATAGTCACAGGTCTTTCATTGCTATCTTGGAAGAAAATTTTGATCACAACTTCGAATTCGCCCCATCCAGTTTCCGTCACTGCATAGGGTGGGGCATGACAAACACGATTTGGATCAGCATAGCTCTCATGCAATTTAAAATGCACTCGTTTTACATACACCGACATATCCTCATGGTCATAAGCTTTTAAATACACATTCCACTGATGCGTATGTCCATCGTCTTGTCGTTTTTCACCCAAATACCAAGCGACATTGCCGTACACGATAGGTTTTACAACTTGAACACCTTTTAATCGACCGCCGGCTTCTTGTTCGGCATTTAGTTTGCTGTTTTGTCCACTACCTTTAGGTGCGAGAGTTCTCTGTTGCACAGCCAGCGGTATCACTGGTTTACTTTCCATTTTGTTTCCTTTCAAATCATGAATTATTTAAAGTTAAACGGACTTTAAGAGTGCTTTTAGAATTATTTAGAAAGAACACAAAATTTTATTGATTGATTGATTGATTGATGCCTAAATATTGCCTGTTTCTGCTATGTTAATATCTAGTGTTTGTACTGCGAAGTTTTTAAAAGAGCATTCTTACTGCCTAAAATTCACGATGCGATTGCTCGCAAATTTGATTCGAGCATGCACTGCAATTCCCGTTACGGACCATTATCATTGCATGCAATTCACGCAACTCCAGTCATCAAGGGAAATTCATGGAACATTCTCAATTTGTGTGATTCACATAAGTCTCTAGTTCATATCATCGAATAGGTCATTTCGTTGACAAGTCATTTCCTCGGCATGGTCGTTTCGTCAACAAGTCATTTCCTCGGCATGGTCGTTTCGTCAACCGGGTTGTTTCGTTGATGGTGTCGTTTTATCGAACAAGTCATTTCGTAGACGTCGTTTCGTCGACATTTATCATTTCCTATAGGGGATAAGGACATTTAACTTTCCCGGGGGGGTTTTAGAAAAGCAACACGCTTTTGACAGACCGGTTTTACGCGCAAAAAGTGGCGCTCGCGTCGTCGTAGTGATTATTTTCTGACATCTCCGCCGTACCTTTGCATTGCGCGTAATCAGTGTTGATCATTAAAAAGCAATTTAATTTAAATTCTAAAACTTTTTCATTTCCGTAAACCAGTATATTATTTTGTATATTGCTTAAAGATGTCTATTCATTACTCATAATTTATTTGTTTGTTTATTGAAGCTTTAAAAGCAGAGATCATTCAGATTACGAGCAATTATATACTATAGTTTCGGTTTTGTTTAGTTTTGGTTTTCAGAACTTAGATTAATTAAAACCGAAGGAAGGATATTTACTTATCCAACCATAGTTATTAGTTTGAAGCGTCTGGTTCTATTATAACTGAAGTATAGATGCTTATATTAGCATTTTTTTATATTTAAAAATATGATTTAACAGAAGGAGTTCGAAACTAAAATCCTTTGAATTTTATAAGTTTACTATTATTGTTTTAAAATCGTAATAATTAAAAATGCACATCAATGACACATTTTTTTAAAGCCATGCAACCGTAAATTTGTTAAATTTTCCGATGAGAATTAAAAATAAAAATCTTTTTCATGAAAATAATTATTCGTAGTATTTATTATGAACTCGATTGTATTATCTATTAATTTCCGATCTTTATTAATGCCTTTGCACAAATAATTATTCAAATTATTAATATATATATATATATATATATATATCAGTATCAAAATCTCCCAATTCATTACTTAATGTCCGCGTAAGACTATGTACCTTGCTAATTAATTGCCCACAATCAAATGCTCTTCATTTTGTTTTGATTTACAAGGAATATAGATAAAATAATTCATAATTTATGTAAATATTTAAACATTGCTGCCTTTATGAATGTTTTTTTTAAGAAAACAATCATATTTTGCGTTACACGTAAAGGGAAACCACGAAAATATCTTTCAGATTGCTTGACGCTTAAGGAGAACTCCTTAAGCGTAATGTTCAGTAATCGTAATAAATTTTTTTTATATAATAAATAATTTTTTTAGCGTCTTTGACAGACAGTCAATTATTTCGGTGAATATAGCGAGATGCTCTTCATATTTTTTGTAATTTTTAACTCATTCCAAAAATCAAAGTAACGTGCAATTTAAATATCGGCGTAAAACAATGTTTATAAAAGTTATAAGAATAATTTATTTTAACCAAGATTAAGTTGAAATTAAAGTAATAAAATTTTGCGTTACACGCAAAGGAAAACCTAGAAAATGTTTTTCAGATTGCTTGGCGGTAATAGGATTTCAACTAAATGTTCATCTTTATCTCAATGAAATTATTTTTTTACAAGCAGCCATTTTTTATTATTAATCAGGCCTAGCCGTTGTGGTTCAGAAGATCAGGAGTCTCCTTGAAGTCAGGCTAACCGTGGGATGTTTTCCTCAAAATGTAAAGTAAATGCGGGCTAGTTCCATCAAGAAGTCCAATATGGAGGCAAATTTCTCTCAATACTTTATAAAGGACTCTCCCTGCCTTTTGGATATGATTTAAAATTGAATTTACGGAGTTAAATATGAGTAGGCGTAAGCACATAATTAGGTCGGCTGTTCGACGACGGTTATAAAATTATGAAATAGATAAGGTATCAACTTGCTGAATATAAATGAAAAGCTCTTCTTTTTATCTCAACCAGTAAAACAAAATAAGCCACAATTTAAGTATCGAATTAGAATTATATACTTATGAAAGTTATAAAAATAATCTATTTTATTAAAGTTATAAAAGAAAGTTATAAAAATAATCTATAGTTATAAAATAATGTATTATTGATAATTTATTAAATTAAATTATCAAATTTTGCGTTACATGCTAAAGAAAACTACAAATGCGTTTTTCAGATTGTTTTTATCGGTAATAGGTATTCCAGCTAAATGTTCATTATCTAAAAGAAGTTATTTTTAAATAATCAATAATTTTTTTCTTCCCATCCTTGATAGATGGCTTAGCATTTTTGTGAATATAAGGAAACGTCCTTATTATTTTTCATTCAACCCAGAAATCAAAATTACTCATAAGTTACTTGGAGTACAATCATAATCATTAAAGTTATGAAAATAACTTATTTCAATTAAGGCTAAATAGAAATAATCAAATTTTGCGTTACATGCAAGGAAAAACCGCAAAAAAGTCTTTTAGATTGCTGAACGGTAATAGGATTCTAGCTAAATGTTCATTATCGCAATGAATTATTTTTTCAACAATTAATTTTTTTTATCATCCTTGAGAGACTAATTGTCATATTAGTTGATGTTGTGAAACACTTTTTACTTTTAACACGACCCAGAAATCAAAGTACCTTGCAATTTAAATATCAGAGTAAATTCATGTTTATAAAAGCTTTTGTAGTAACCTATATTGTATTTGAAATTAAATTAAAATTTAGACAAATCAAATGTTGCGTTAAATGCAAAGGAAAACCACGAAAAAGTCTTTTAGATAACTGAACAATAATAACATTACAGCTGTGTGTTCATTATCGCAATGAATTATTTTTTTAACCATTAATTTTTTTATCATCCTTGACAGACAATTTGTCATCTTAGTGGATGTTGTGAAATACTTTTCTTATATTTTTAACTTTTAACACGACCCAGA